GAAGAATGTTCAGACAGTTATATATCGGGCTGATTTGAGAATATCTACGATGCTTCATTTGCCTAATTTGAAATGATTCGTATGCAAAGCACAGATAGATAATTGTCGAAACTAACTGATTCGCAATCTTCTTCTGAAAATTTACCTATCCACTCGATTAGAACTGTCGGTTACTGTAGAAGATTGGATCTGCGTCAATCGCGATCAGAGATGTTCACGGGTTGACCCGTTTTGACCCGACCCATAATCCGTGCCCGGGTTAGACCTATGACAGGTCACGGGTTTGCGGATTAGATATTTGTAGGGGTTTACGGGCTCACGGGTCGGGTTTATCGTTTTATACGTAACCCGCTGGTTAACCCGTTCACAAACTTTGCCTGTCATTTCTTTTCATTCTTCATTCTTTCGTTCCACAGATAGTTACGCTCAACATTGTCAAGGTGTATGCTTAGTTCTAGTTGTTTCAGAACTTGTTTTATTGCAGGTTCACAATACACACATAACAATAATAATATAAAAAAAGATGATAAACAACAACAAAAAAAACTTAAAGATATATAAATACATTCTCCAATGAGAATGGAAAACATAAGTTTATATGATATGTAGAGGATGAGAAAGGAAAAAGAAAGAGAGCGCTGTCGAGGCAGATAATGTATATGATCTTGTGTGTTAACACGGATCATAATAAACATTCATTCTATTCCTTCGTTCCTCTACTGTTTTAGTTCTTTTTATTATTTCTTTGGTTCGTTAACATCTGAAGTCTTTCTTCCATTGTCCTCACTACATCTTCATTCTAGTTATTCACCCACTTGTTTCGAAGCATGCACTAAGAACAGGCGATTCCGACCCCAATAACATTACGTTGTCGATTCCGACACGATTCGATTTCAACAGTCAAACATTTTAAAATTGGCAACATTTTCATAAAAGATTATGCACTTTTTTCTCTACATCTCAACAAACAGTTGAACTAGTGATTTAGAATCATATATAAACAAACATTTGATAAGCAGCAAAAGAAGACACTTCCAGCTCTGTTTAGCATCAAATATGTTTAATTCAAAGGTTAGCGTGAATACTTTATGATTACTTGTTAATCACAGAATAAGCCATTCCAAATTGGAATCGGAACTGATGATTCTGATTCTGATCCCAAAAATATTTCATATTGCCGATTCCGATACCCAATAAAGTCAACTTTGCCGATCCCTAGCGTGTACATGTATATGTGCATTTTGTTTAAGCTTGATAATAGAAATACAAGATAACATCGACATTTTTCTGTCCATTTATTTTATCATTTTTTTCGCATATTTTTTTCCTGATAATTTTTACGATAAAAAAGTTCATTCCGTCTTTTGTGTATTAATCTTCACTTCACAGTTTAGCCAACTCATGAGTGATTTTTTTAAACAATTTATGCTGTCAAAATTCACGTTTCTAAAATTTGTATTAACTCGCAGGTAGCCTGTGACGGGTTGATAAGTGCTCCACCTGTGAAGTAATCCGCGGGTTCAAAGAAAAAAATATTCAACTCGTGAGACGGATCGGGTTCGATCACGAACAGGTCGGATCAAAAAAAACCTGTCATGAACATCTCTGATGGTGATCAACTTTCGACAATTTCCTTCCAAAGATTGATGATGAGAATGAAGTTGGTTTTTCTGAGTATTTTCGAATGATGCAATTAATTCTGGCCCTGTGATTTGAAATTTAAATCAATGATGATGTCATCAAGACATCCTCTGTTGGCATTCAAACCAAATCTTCGTTGCTCATAATAAGTCTTTCACTTAAGCTAACTTAAAATACATATCAATGATTATTTCCTTGAGACAATTTTTTCGTATCAGTACAAAAATAACTATGCAACTAGATAGATCATGGGTTTTCTATTGCATGAAGGATACTCCATCAATAAAAATATCTCACGAAGGTCAAATAATAATTATATTCATCAAATAAGGCGTTCTTGTATCAGAAAAAAAAGAATATCTCACCTATGACTGTCTCAAGTGAATCAAACATTCAATGTTTGATCATCTTGTTGTCCATTCAAATAATTTTGATATTCGCATCAATGACTTTTGTTCGGTTATTCGAACGACAAAGTTTTAATCTTTGACAACCAAACCTTTTGCTCTCCAAAAGTCTATTAGATTGTAACTGAACGAAAAACAAGCACAACTTGAGGAAAGTCATCACCGTTTGCTTCTGGACGCTCGATTCATCGGTATTTTTTGTTAAAGAGCTGTAAAAGAATCGGCTTATCCTTCTACTGGAGCATCTATATCGATAGTATTTCGTATTCTTGTGGCCAAGTGATACTGGTGTATAGCCATCAGATGTACATTAGGACATGGGTGTGGGTGTGGGTGTGGGTGTGGGTGGATGTGTCGACGTGAAATTAATACCAACATCCACACCCGAACCTACCCCACAGCCATACCCACACCCCCCCCCCCCCCCCCCCCCCCCCCCCCCCACCCCCCCCCCCCCCCACCCCCCCACACCCCCACCCCGACGAACGCAGATGGGCA